TAGGTGGTAGGTGGTAGGTGGTAGGTGGTAGGTGGTGGTAGTAGTAGTAGTAGTAGTAGTAGTAGTAGTAGTGGCGGTAGTAGTAGTAGTAGCAGTAGTAGTAGCAGTAGTAGTAGCAGTAGCAGTGGCAGTAGCAGTAGCAGCAGCAGCAGCAGCAGCAGGAGCAGGAGCAGGAGCAGGAGCAGGAGCAGGAGCAGGAGCAGGACCAGGAGCAGGACCAGGAGCAGGAGCAGTAGCAGTAGCAGTAGCAGTAGCAGTAGCAGTAGCAGTAGTAGTAGTAGTAGTAGTAGTAGGAGGAGGAGTAGGAGGAGTAGGAGTAGGAGTAGGAGTAGGAGTAGGAGTAGGAGTAGGAGTAGGAGTAGGAGTAGGAGTAGGAGTAGGAGTAGGAGTAGGAGTAGGAGGAGTAGCAGGAGCAGCAGCAGTAGCAGTAGCAGTAGCAGTAGCAGTAGCAGTAGCAGTAGCAGTAGAAGTAGCAGTAGCAGTTAGCAGTAGCAGTAGCAGTAGTAGTCGGCGTCGTCGTCGTCGTCGTAGTAGTAGTAGTAGTAGTAGTAAGTTGTCTAAGCCGGAGAAAAGTAGTACAATCAGTAGGAGTATTAGTCGTCATCGTCGCCGGCATAGGAGAAGTCCGAGTAGGAGTAGCAAAGCAATGGGCAACAATCATAGACTGTAAGACATCCGGACACAGGGCTTTTGCCGGACTGAGTCGACTGCCTTGTCCTTGTAAGCATCGTACTCCTCCTGCAAGTCCTCACACTGCGGTTTTTGACATTGATGTTGCTAGGCATTCTGGCGATGTGAGCAGGACCGAAACCCTTAAACTGCTGTCCTCAACAAACCTGGATCCTAAACATTCCTATAGACCCCACTGGAAGAAACCCAACCAACCAGGCCCTAAACCTCTCTGGAGGCCATAACCCCGAAGCCTAAGCCCTGAAACCTGCGTCTAGTGCTACGACTTGGACTAAGACCAACTTGATACATCGCTTCTCCCAAGATCTCCCAAGCATAGCTTCAAACAGTTACCCCTAAGCCCTCATCGCCCCAACCCTTACAAAGCCATTGTTAATCCTATAAGAACCCAATAAAGCTTTATGAAGCCCTCAAAAGACCCAACCAAGCCCATGAGAACGATTACTGCGAATTCAACCTTTTAAAACCAACTCGCCTCGGCCCGCTTTTTGAATCGCTGCATCTGTGCTCGAAGCGCCGAGACCTGGCTGAAGCCGCGAGCAAGGGCAAATCTGGAGAACACTCCCTCGGAGAGCCTGCTTGGGAAATTAAGCTTGGGGAGATGGGATTAGGGCTGGATGCAATGTATATATATATATATATATAGGGTCTGGGAGTTTAGGATACAAGGTTTAAGGGTTTAGGTCCCGATTTGGGAGTTTGTCTGGCATGTTGAAAGGTCTGGGACTGAGAGCTCGGTGCCTTTAAGCTGTGCTTGAGGGTTGTCGGGTTTCGTTTCGGGACACCCTCGATCTAAAACTCGAAAAAACTTAAAGGAACCCATTCACGCACGCATGCCCTGACACTCAAAAATACAAAACAAACCGTGTTATCACAAAAGTGAAAACAAAAGAACTATCCCACAAGTCAAAAATCCTTTGTACACCCTGCAAACCAATCATTATCAAAACCCTTCCAACCCTGCATGAACATTTCAGAGATAGCCTCGCCCTTCCACCGGCGCTGCATGGGCACGGGGCGCTCGGCCACATCCAGCTGCGACAGCAGCCACCAGCGCACCCTCGCCGAACTAGGCCCGGTAAACCCTAACCCTTGCAGTCATACGGTACGGGGTCTAGGGTTTTGTGTTTTAGGATGTAGGGAAGGTTCAGGGTTTAAGGTAACAACGGTTGGGAGTTTAGTTTTCGGGTGTACTCGGAGGCTGTAGGCACTTAGTAAATAGGTTATACATGGACTTGTAGGGCCCGCTACGCTCCGAAACGCGGCATACACTCTCAGAGTTACGGATTAAGTTGAGGGAGTTAGGCTTAGGGCTTAGAGATTGGGGTTCAAAATCCCGAGAAAGCTGAGAGACTTCGGCCCCTTTAGGGTCCTTTTTTGAGGGTGCCGTACCATATTGGGGACCTAAAGGGGATCCCACTTTAGAGAACTTGCCATGTAAGCATTGGGCCCATGTAACGAAACCTGTTTTCGAGATCCTCAGCCCGAAACCGTAAGCAATACACAGCTTCTGCTGATACTACTTCGAAACGATGATCCGGACACAGCGAAGAGCCATACAGAACTGAGGGCCTGGTTCTGGGGGCTTCGGGGTTTAGCGGTTAGAAAGCACCTGCAAGCAGATGGAGGAGCACTGCCAGTCCACCACTTTGTGCGCCATGTGCATGGCTGTTGATGTCATGCGTCGCAAGGAAGCGAGCTGGAACCAAAAGATCAAGATCTTCTGCACTCTGGGTGTGCAGCCTTCCTGGAGCACCAGGCTGTACAGTCGGGCTCAGCATTAGGAGATCCGCAAGTGCTCTTTACAACTGTACACTGCACTGTTCGAGGCTCCTCAGACAGCGAATTTTCTCAAGCCCCTAGGAACTCAAAGCCCTTGTTGTGCGCGTTGTAGACGGGCGTAGGGATGTTAGCATATCGGGCCTTAAGTTGCAAGGCCAGGAAGAGCGAGTAGATGCGATTTTGCAAAAGATTGCCGCCGTGCAGCCAGAGACCTTCCACGTTGGTTCTCTTCCACATGTTCCGCAGCTCTCCCTCCCAAGGTCCTTCATCTCCGGCAATACCCGTACCCAAGCCCCATATCCTGCCAAGGCGTGCAGCCGTATCTTTCCCCAGAAGCTCTGCGATGAGCTTCGATAGCGGCGCATAGCCCGTGGCAAAGACTACCGTGTCGGCGCTAAGATGGGTTCCATCGTCGGTGACCACTGCAGATTCACTAAAGGCTACGGCACTGCCAGTCTTGAGCTGGATCAATCCATCCGCAATGAGCTCGGAAGCACCGACGTCCAAGTACGTACCCGACCCAGTCGACAAATAGTTCGAGGTGTTCCTAGTTCATGGTTGGGATAGTATCTTAAAAAGTCTATGGTTTAGGTAGCCGTGCAACTTCAAAATGCTACCCAACTGTGACACAAAGGTTCGTGGAAGTTGAATCCAAGAGAAAGCCAACATGCTCCAGGCGCTGGAGAAGATCCGCATCCTGCTCCCTGAGCTCGACGCTGGCTCTGCGCTGTTTCTCCAAGAGAAGTCCTAGGTTCCCCAGTAAGCCCCTAATAGTAAGGGTACCCTTTTTCCTACTATTCGGCTTTAATGAGGAGGCCCCCAAACCAAAAAGGGCAAAAGGGTACTACTGGGGAACCTAGAGTCGGTAAGGCGTTGACATGAACTCCAAGTCAGCCGCCTCCGTACTCATGCCACCGGCCCTTGCTTCTTCTGAGTAGAGCCGTTGCAAGCAAACCCGCTGATGGGTGCTGACTTTGGTGATTGGTGTGGGACTGCGCTGAATCATGGTCACATCCGCACCGTGCTCCCACAAGTCCTGGCAGATATCATGGGCTGAAGTGCCAGATCCCACGACAACGACCTTCTTGCCTTCTTGGGATGCCCCTGAGACATACTGCGAGGAGTGCATGGTGACCCCTGCAAATATCTCCTGATTCTGGAGTTTCGGAGTGTGGGCAGTGCCATTCAGGCCTGTTGCGATGACCAGGTGTCGTGGTTGTAGCTGCACACGTGTGCCGTCCTTCTCAACATGTACGGTCCAACTGCTCTTCACCTCGTCCCATTCCGCTTTCACGCAGCGGGCGCGGGTCCACAAATCAACATTCATCAGGCTTGCATAAATATCGATCCAGTCTGCCATCTGGTCCTTCGTGAGGTACTTCGGCCAGTGATCTGGGAAGGGCAGGTAAGGGAACTCACAGTACGAGACTTGGAAATGCAGGCGCAAGGAGTCGTAGCGGTGGCGCCAAGCATCCCCTGGTCGGTCGTTCTGCTCAAGCACCTTAGTTGCTGAGTTCATAAGCCCAAAGCAGTGCAAACTTTCAACATCTTTCAGGTCTACATCCGTGGTATAATTATCCCAAGAGTGTCAAGAATCCCAAGAGTGTCAAGAGTACTCACTCATGCTACTAAGCGGCGATGCTGGGCACTCCGAGCTGCTTCAACCGGGCCCCCAAAGTCACCCCGCATTGGCTGCCCCCGACGATCACGACGAAGGGGTCAGGCTTTGCGCACGCTGGCGGCAATGCGGGCCGCCGCATGGCCTTCGGATGCCCACCTAGTTCCCTGGAGAGCCCTCGCTTTTCTTCGTGCCCATGGAGGGCTTGGGCAGCGGTCAGCAAGGTCCAGCAGAGTCCGTTGCGAAGCTTCACCTGCCCGATGCAGCTTGCGCAGGCCGTCTGGAACACAAACTGAGCGGTGATGATCCCGTCTGCATCCGTCACTCCTGTGAGGACCCAGCTGTGTGGCTTCACACGGTCCAGAACGGATGACACCATCTCGAGTATGGGCCTCTTGCCTTCCGTAGTCTGGATGTCCCATGTGAACGACAGCAGATCTCGCCACGCGCAACTTTCGGCAAAAAGCTTTGAGAGTCCTTCATAATCGCGGGTTTCCAAGGCCACCGAGAAACTTCCCAGCCAAGAGTGTGCGATGTCCTGGTCGGCCATGGCGCGACAGCGACAGATTAAGCGGGATAAGACGGAGCTTGAGGGCCTTGGACCAAACCATAAGCAGATCGACAGCACAAAGGATGCTACAAAGTGCACAGGGTGCCAGATGAACACCGATGCCCCAGCCACCCTAAACCCTAAACCCTAACCCCTAAACCTTATCTGGGACATCCTGCACTTTGCTCTCCACACGCTTATGCACCGGCCTCTTTTGGATGCTGGGCACCTCCTCCACTGCCGTCGCACCTTGGTGCTTAGGGCTTAGGGCTTCGGGTTTTGGGTTTAGGGCTTAGGGTATTGAACTGCACGGGGGGGGGGAGGGTTTCGGGCTTAGCGTCACATCCTCCTAAACTCGTCACCCACATCCTCAATCCACGGATATCATCAGCCAGTGCTAGACGGTCCTGACTCGGCCAAAGGACAAGGCCCGGAGGAAAGCTTCAACACCAAAACCCAACCGTAAGTGTTAGAGCCTTGGGTCTGGGGTTCGGGGATGAAACCTTAAACCCTAAACCCTGAACCTTAAACCCTAAACCCTAAACCTCAAACCCTAAACCCTAAACCCTTAAGTTAGGCTTTCCGGATCGAGGCCGCGGCTTTCGTCTGGGCACAGCCCGGTGCTCACGAGACACCAAACCTGGTGGAGACGGGCTGGCTTGAGGTTGTTAGGGTTAAGGGCTTAGGGTTTTAGGGTTTTGGGTTCAGGGCTTTAGGGCTTTAGGGCTTTAGAGTTTTAGGGTTTTGGGTTTAGGGGTTTCTTGTCAGGACCTTCGAGCAGTGCCCCAGAATCAAGGAATGAAAGCTTGAGAACACTCGAGGCGATTTGGGATAACCCTAAACCCTAAACCCTAAGCCCTAAACCATAAGCCCTTTTGGGATCATGTTGGCCCGTCGCCGCAGACCGTATCTTTCTATTCAGAGGAAGCTCGGAGTGGCGAAGCATCCAAAAAAAAACACGTGCACTCGTTTAGGGTTTAGGGTTTAGGGTACAGAGCTTGAAGTCCAAGAAGGCATGCCGTGGAAATTAGTGAACCGAACTTAGGGAAGAGGATTGCAATTGTGAGATCTGGTTTTGTGACTCCTCGAAGACATCCTCTCGAGGCTGTAAGGTCTGTACTTTTGGGGTTTAGGGTGTGTTAGGGGTTAGATTGAACTTAGACAGGACTACAGCACAACAACAAAAAGGTGTGTGTGTGTGCAGTAAACAGCCTCTTTTCCGACAGACGCATGAAACCTGCGGAGCCCCTCGCCAGCGACTCCCCCTTCTTTGAGGCTTAACCCTAAACCCCTAAACCC